CTCTGTATTAAATGTTTTCAGCCAAGGCATTTCAAAGCAGCCAGGACCAAAGGAAGTGGAAGCAGTTTTAAAATGTTATTTAGTACACATTGTTTTAAATCCAAAGTTATTTAGAAATGCTACTGATTATAAGTACTATAAAATGTTGTATTCTTTTCTTTGAATGCTATAATGACATTTTTGCTCTATAATTTTTAAAGCCATTTTAGTAACAAAGTAATATTAAGACCCCTCTCCCCAGAATAAATATTTGGTCTTGTTTGAGGGTGTGACTAAACAAGGCAAGGAGGCAATTTTATAGCAGGTTTAATGGTTAAAAAATTAAGAAACTATTTATAAATGATTTCTTTTTTTCTATAAATTAAAGTTTAGTTACCGACTTATTTGCTTTTCACTTCTAGCATTGAAAACATACCTAAAAAATAATGAAAAGCATTATGTGAGATCTATGACTTGGAAATATAAGCAATAATGGGTTGTTTCCCGCGCTAAAAGCATGCTCATAAGCATGGTAGCCCCCAGACCCCTGCTTCATTTGTGTAGCTTCACATCTCAACACACCAATGGCTAATACGTACTGGTTTAACCGTGCATATTAGCCATGTGTGTCAGTACATATTAGCCATTGGTGTGTTGAGATGGCTAATGTAATATGTACTGATTTAATATGTACTGATTCTACTGATATACTGATTTAAAGTGTGCTCCAAACAAATCACAGTGTAGCCACATTAACTGCGGTCAATTTGGAGCTTTGAAATTAGCAGTGAGACCATAAGGCCTTGGCAAAGTGGGCAAAAAATGAATCATAAACCATGCCATGGATAAGAAGCTGTTAAAATTGGAAGAGTGAACAGTGTACTGTCTCATAAGATAAAATGTATATCGTGTCCTTTTTTTCATAAGCTACAGTATGTACTGTTATCAAAGTGCACTCATAATGAATCTCATTGTGGGTCCACCCTTCACCTTTATTACAGCTTCCATTCTTTTCTGGAGACTTTTAGTTTTTCAGTGAAATCTGCAAGGATATTTTTCCATACCTCCAAAGTTCAGTCTTAGAAGTTGGTTGCATTTTCTGCTTTTCAAAATCCAGGTAATCACAAAACATTGAATGATGTTGAGATCTGGACTCTGGGGTGGTCATTCCATTGTTCTAAGAGCATCAGCAGCTTCTCTTTTTGTCTGTTCTGTTGGTCTATCCGGTCTTGCGCGATTATTAGGGCACCTCTTTCCTCCAGTGTTGGAAATTCAGTTTTTTTTTGTTTTTTTTTTCACTTATTTTTTTTTTTGACCAAGTACTGTAGAGCCATGGCTTTACACCGCTGAGGAACTGTTGTAAATTGCACTGACAGGCCATAATGTCATGATTTCAAGCAAAGTATGCTTGGAATGAGAAACCGAAGCTGTCATCACACTCAGTCTGAAATGTGTCAGCGTCCTCAGGAAACTTGCTGAGAACGCTGCGCTTTTGGTTAAGCTGATTTCACTGGTTCAGAGAAGTGTTTGTAGTAAATATAGTGAAGGGGATGTGATCTCTGTCTTTATTCACAGCACTCCAGGGAACCTCAGGGAAAAACATATGAAGCAAACATGTTTATATTCCAGATCAGCTGCCCCCACTATGTTTCTGCGCCGAATCTTCACGCTTCAGTAGTTATTTAATCGTGTGATTTAAAGCGTCCCCTGATACTTGACCCTTACTCTTTTCCCGCGGCGATAAGTCTGACCAACATTGCTTGGAAATGGCCGTTAGCTCACTGATCTCGTGTAACAGCATCGTCCAGAAGTAGTTTACAAACACTTACAGCAAAACAGCTTGTTAGGGATCACAATCACTCAATAGAGACAGAGAGCTTGTTGATTTTTGACTGTTGGGGTTTATTTCACTAGTAACAATGTTGCAATGTAACTGTATTTCATGTTAAGTCCTGTTTATTGTTATAAGTATTCAGAATACAGAGCGTGCAAAGCCTAATGAAATTCTTGTGCTACTGTAGAACACTTTTACTGACAATATAAAGTGGTGCACGTAAGACAGACAGCAAGTGATACCAAACTAGATGGCAGAACAGAAAGACTTGGAAATTGGCAGGTAATATCTAGATACATGGATATATTGCATTACAATGTGGAACAATATAGTATAATATGTGTAATACAGTGTAAAGCTACAGTACTGTGCAAACAGCATACAACCACTCTTCATTCACATAATTTCCAGTCAAAACAGCCAGTAAGTGTATGCTTTTCCTTTTACATGAGACTTTACTGAAAAGATCAGGCATAAGATAAGAAATTATCTTGCCCGTTTGCATAACAAATTGGACTCCTAAAAACGTACAAGACCTGGTAGACCACCAAAGCTGTCACCATCAGATAAACAGTACTTAAGGCCTTCATCTTTGACATACAGGAGAAAAAATCAAGCTCCACTCTTTTCAGATCTGAAAAAATCCACAGGTGTTTCTCTCCATCCTTCCACTGTGAGAAGACAACTCTGTGAGTCTGAAAGGATGTGTAACTGACAAGAAGCCCCTACTGAGAAATGAAAACAGGCAAAGAAGAACATTTGCAATTCAAAGAAAGAAGGTGCCGGTGTTCTCAGAACAATGAACTGACCTGGGGTCAGAGTCCAGATCTCAACATCGCTGAATGTGTTTAGGACTATTTTGACTGTGAGAAGCAGAAAATGCTACCAACTTCTAAGACTGAACTTTGCAGGTCTTCTGCAGATTTCCTTAAAAAACTGAAACCAAGTCTGCTGAAAAGACAAAGAATGAACACATTAAATACTCAAATGTTTAATATTTAGTTGTCAGGCCTTCTGTGTAATTTTCTGTTTAATGTGTTTTCTGCCTTTTGTCCTGATGCTGAAAAATAAATAACTTGTACTTAATGAATAAATGAATGACTTCTGTGTATATACTCATCTAAAAAGATGTGAAGGAAAGTCACCGGAATTCATTGTTGTCTTTAAAGCCTGGTTGAGATGTTTGCGGTAAATGCTGAAATACTGAGTGGCAGCTAGCACACACGCGCACAACATCACATTGTGGGTTTGTTGTCACTGCTTCTGCTACAAGTGCGTCCTACTTCCTACTATTTCAGCAAATGGCCATCTGCATGTAAACGGCCAGCTCTGAGACAGATCAGGTCACCCAGCAGTGGCTTTGGTGAGAATACAGCCCAAGTGGAATGGAAACTTCATTTCAGGGCTAATATTAGCCTGGCCCTCCGGAAAATTCCTTTTAAATGATCACAAGCTGAGAAAAGGCAAAGTATTTGTTTAGCGTTTTGCTTTGACAGTATTTGCAAATAGTTTTTCTTTTTCTTTTTCCCCCCTTTGATTTCAGACAGTTCTTGGGAAAGAAAAAGAGTGGATTTATGGGGAAGATTGGAAAAAGAGACTGTCTGTTGTGTTTCCTCTTGTCCTTTAGTTGGGTATTCATGCTTTAATGGACTGAAATTGTCTTTACCTACTGTATATATCAATACATAGTATCAAATAGTATGATGGTGTGTTTTTATTGTATAGTGGCGAAAATGAACAGCATGCTGTGTCATTTGAATGTTAGAATGTTGTACTTTCTATGAATGGGGATAAAAACAACTGTTTGATGTATGACGTGCTACTACATGTATGTTCCACTGTATGCTGTATGAGGGAGATACTCTTTGCAGATACTACACAATGGGCAACCATTCTGGTTGCTGAAACAGCAGTGATTACTTAAATGGAGCGAAGTGTTTTGTAGATGAATATGAATGGATTTGAACTCAAGACACTCTCAGTCAGAGACAAAACACAGCAATGTTTGGGGAAACAGGGTCAGACTCTTGAACTTGGTAGAAAGAGTGTGGCCTAACGCCAGGGACACTGTAATACACGTTGACACGTGAGACATTCTGACTTCCAGCATGAGGCGTAAATGCACTTTACAGTGCAAATAGTACAAGTAATATTGAGAAAGTAACAGCAGTCTATGGCAAAATATCATACTGAGAAGGGTGAGAAATGGTTCTATGTGCAATGTTTTGTTTCACTGCAAAATGATTTGATGTCCGAGAGTAATAAGGTACCGGCCATGGCATTGAGCCAAGCAATGCTGAAGTACCTAACAATGAAAGAAACCTGGCAACATCAACTTTTCAAGAACATCCATTCAAGCTGCCAATTAGCAACTTCTTAGTTAGCTATCTTGGCTACCTCCATATAATCTGCTGAACTTTTGGTAAGATCTCCATGCAACACCTATTTAAGATAATGATGCTTAAAGATTAGCATTAAAGATGCACTGAAATAGGAATTCTGGGCTGATATCATGATATTTTGTACATATCTGCCAATGCCAATACATGAACATTTTTAAAATGTAGGAATTGGGACTGAATCCATTTGCGAAGAAATGCAAAATCTGTTTCTGTAGGCTTACAAATGCAGTAAAATCACTAAAATACAGAGATTTTAGCCTAACAGCCCAGCGTCACCTAAACGTTCTGCTCTTCCGGAAGACAGTAAATGCTTAATTGAATATTGGTTTGAAATATTGGACAAATCTAAACATCTGTCCTATGAAGATATTCCTTTAAAGCAGTTACCTGCCGATACTGACATGATTTCGATATCAGTGTGCATCCCTAATTAGAATTTTACATTGCAGCTAAACTACCGAGAGTTACTGTATTTCAGTACAGATTAGTACGTACAGTCTTGTCTATTAAATATTCAAGCATTTGCTGCTAATAAGGAGTATCATAGTATAAAATATATAAAGTATAAAATGCATTATATCAAAACAATTCATGCCAAAAGTAAGTTTAATTAACAATGTATTTAATCATGTTGAACCAGTTCATACATTTGAGACAGGTAAATTCAAAGGAACACTTTTTCCAGTGTGTGTTACAAATTGGCTCTTTCAAAAGCAGAAATAAAACATCTTGAACTGTAAGCCACAGTTGTCATGACAAACATAATCTGCTGTGTCTTTCCTCAGGTAAATCCCACCTGGCAATAGTTCACAGAGTCAACAATGAGGGGGAAGGAGATCCATTTTATGAGGTGCTTGGGATCGTCACCCTGGAGGACGTTATAGAGGAAATAATCAAGTCTGAAATCCTGGATGAGACAGATTTATACAGTAAGAACAGCTCAGATAAACAGTTGATGTTTACCTTGACTGATCAGTTGGTGTCTTAATGTGGCTCAGTATAGTATAGCTTATTATGTACATTAGTTTGTGTTTACAAAGTGCTGCAATAAAAGGTAACCATAAAACTACCCTAAGGTGTAGACTACACTCTTTAAAAAGATGGTTCTTCAAGGGTTCTTTAGTAAAGGCATTGGTTCTATATAGAATCGTGAACACTCAAAGAACTATTTACATGCTTAAATGGTTCTTTGCATGGTGAAGTGTTCTTCAGATTGATTCACAGTGTGTTGTATATGGTTCTATATAGTACTTATTTGAAAATGGTTCTATACAGCACCAGAAAGAGCTGCTATTGCTACGATGTCAAGCTCATGACAATAGAAGAACACTTTTTGCTGCTATGTAGAACCATTTTCAAAACGGTACTATATAGAAGCATACATGACACATTCTCCATCAGCCTGAAGAACCATTTCACCATGCAAACAACCATTTAAGCACAAAATGATTCTTGATAGAACTTCTGGTTCTAAATAGATGTACTAAAGAACCCTTGAAGAACCATCTTTTTTAAGTGTGTAGGGTTCATAATTTAGAATATAAAAAAATTAATTTGTAAATACTTTTTACAGGGCCAAGTCAATTATTACTGTAGGCTCTATGTAACATTCTTTTCTGAATGTTCAGACCGAAATCAGGATGTTTTGTTCATAACCTTCTATAACCTGAAATTTTACTAAAAACCTTCCCCCTTTCTTTCCTCTCACCCCGACTTCCCCGTTAGCTGACAACAAAACAAAAAAGAAAATCACCCATCGGGAGAGGAAGCAGGATTTCTCGGCCTTCAAGCCTACAGACAATGAAATGAAGGTTAAAATATCACCTCAGCTTCTACTGGCTACTCTGCGTTTCCTAGCAACAGGCAAGTGTGCTGCGTTGCTGCTTGATTTCCCCCAGTGTGCTCTGTGACTTAGCTTCTTAGCACGCTAGAGGTTAGGCCTTCACACTGACCTGAGACCAGTTTTGTTGTTTCTCCTATAATAGTTAAGCTTAGGGTTTGGGCAGCGGCAGCTGCTCTTAGATCGCTGTTATAATTCAGTATCTGCAGGCCACTAAGAGGAGGGCAACTCAGGAAGTCAGGAGTTAGTGAGGATCTGAGAGCTTAGCTGCTGGTTTGTTTTTTTAGATATCTGAGCCTTATAGTGGGTTTTTGCTCACGTTACATTCAAGTTGTGTAGTTTTTTATATGTAAGAACAAAACCTGCATTAGAAGTTTCAAAGTGGTCACTGACTGCTGCAAAACTGACTTCCATTCAGCTTTATGGACGATCAACTGAAGCAGATCTCGCTCTGTAGCTAATCTGTATCTGCTATGAAACATCTGAGGCCGAAATCAGTTGTGAAGTTTTGCTTACTTTAGTAGACTTTATTTTTGTAGGATTTCTTGTAAAACCTTGCACCAGGATTTTGGTTAGAACTTTGACCTTGCGGCTAAATGCTAATCATATCACTTAACACTGGCACAATGCTATTAAAGGACTCTGGTCAAGAAGGGACCAGCTGCCAGGTGACACAGATACTGTAAACACAGCTAAGCCAGTGAAAAAAGGCCCATTCGGTCAGTAAATACTAAGTTAACCTTCCACCGTAAGGGCTAGCATATGTGTAGAAAGTGTAAACATGCTACATTGCATGTCAATTCAGTATTGCTAAAATGCCTGCAAGTGACCAGTAATTACAAATAGCCTGATTATATGGCGCACCTTGGCTGTTTTCTCTGGTTAAACATACAGCCATATGCAAAAATTTGAACACCCCTAGTCAAATTGTATGTTTTGCTAATTTTCTACATGAAATTAAGTTAACACTTTACAAATAGCAGACATAAATATGGCATTTGTCTGCTAATTTTAATGCACCTTTTCTATTTAGCTCATGAAACAAGCTAGTCAGTTAGTTGAATCATGCACTGATGACCATTAGTGTTCTTACAGAGATCATTTTTGCAGGCTTTTTGTAGTTATAATCAAAGGCTTAGTAATTATTGTGGAAAGAAAACTTTCAAAGACGTTTTAGAAAGCGAATCATTGGCACGTATATTGGACATTGTAAAGTACCTACAGATTATGTGATATTAATGTGACGTTGCCTACCGCAACCATCTTTAGAACGTTCAGATGTATCCCATCTTCAGGCATCACTTTTGCATTAGACATTACATTTAAACTGCAAGGCAAAATAGTCATCATCATCATCATCATAATCATCAATTGTGTCCATTATCTCTCCACAGAGGTGGAACTGTTCGGCCTGGCTCAGATGTCCGAGAAGATCCTTCTGCGGTTGCTGAAGCATCCCAACGTCATCCAGGAGCTCAAGTTCAACGAAAAGAACAAGAAGGCCTCGGAACATTACCTTTATGTCCGTAACAAGCCCGTGGACTACTTCGTCCTCGTTTTGCAGGTTGGTGGCTCGCGGGTCCGCCTGGCTCAGGGCGTTCAGCCGGCCGGCTGACCGGTCAGTCGGTTCTCAGCACTCTAGGGTACAGAAAGAGAGAGGATCGGGAACTATTAACCGTAAACAAGCTTGGATTTTCTCAAGTATTAGACGTGGCCAGAGTGTGAAGGTTGAACCGAGGAGCAGGAAGGAGGTCTTAGTGGGTGACACACATTTCGTTGCGGGAAGTGTAGGTCAGAGTGCTACTTAAGGGTTTGTTTTGGACTCTCCTTTGTTTTGCTAGTTACCGAACAGCAGTCACACAAAAGGATTACATTGCACCACTTTGTGCTGTGACAGTTTCTGTATATGTTTGCGATAGAGAAAGTACTGGTCCAGCACTGATTATTGGTTTGGAGATGACATGAACCAAAAATGCAAAAAAAATAATGAATCCGGCGCAAATTCTGTAACAAGTCTAACCTGAAATTCAGCAGAATTGTAGCGTAACATAATGTGATAACACTTTACTACAGGGCAGTGATTATATGGCTACGTGACACCTTCATATGCTGATCCCCAGCAAAACCAGCATATGGTGTGTTTAGGATGCTGGTATGCTAGACAGCAGCAGTGGAACTTATTGTACTGATCACCAGCAAAGCCACCATATGGTGTGTTGTGGATGCTGCTATGCTGGTCAACCGCCATGATCATGCTGGGTGACCAGCTAAATCAGTATCAGACCAGCACTAGACCAACATAAATCAGCGTAAACCAGCTTAAACCAGCATGGAATGCTTTTTTATGCCACACTATTAAACTAAAACCAGGCAGGGGTGAACGTAGGTATGATAATATTGTTCTGTCTATTTTACGAAGAATTAACACAGGAACGTTTATATATTGCATTTCTGTTTAGTCAAAATGTTGGTATATATGAACTTTGGTACCACAAATGACTCTTTTTGCCCCTGGTTTGTTCTACGAGTCTGCTTTTGCACTGGGAAGTGGTTGTGATTGTGTTCATCTGTGTTTAAAAATGGGCCAAAATCTCACAGTGGATGCCTGGCGGGAATCTGCCAAGGCAGAATGTTTAAAATGACCAACTGCTGCAGCGTCAGCAACACTTTTCTGTTTGAACAGACCTTCGTTCCCTGCCAGCTTGAGTCATGTGTTCAGTAGTGCAACAGCATACACAAGGCTTACGTTGCCTGATCAAGTGGTGTCGGATGTCGGTACATTTTTTACGAGTGTGAGTAATTAGCATGATATCAGATGGATACCCAGTACCAGTATCTGTATTTATCTGTATTTTATTCCAGTAGGCATCATCTGTCATAAAGGCTGCTTTTGTCAGCTATGATGTTAAGTTGACATAACACCCATGTCATGACGCTTTTTTGGGTGAAATGACAGCACATTATAACAAGTGACTTTGTAGCTTAGTGTATGTCACAGTGACATAACGCTGATGATATCTCAACTCGTATGAATGGTAAAATAAAACTCGCTTTACTTAAGAACACAGAACATGTTTGTTCAGCTACGTCATATTATCAGATTTATGTCATTATGAAATACACTGAGCTACAAAGTGTATGTCATTTCTGCCCAGAAAGCATCATGACAAATCAGTGTCACCTGACATAGATGTTACCTACGCCTACTGGAATAAGTGCTTATAAATGTTCATGTAGGCCTGTGTTACTTGTCATGAAGGACTTATGTAGGTGTCATGTAGCCTTATGAACAGTACCCTACAGTAAAGTGTTAGCCATGATGTGAAATGAAGTAGGTAATGTGACAATACTAGTCATGAGTAGCTGAGTATTACACTAAAACTACATTTTTTTTTGTTTGTTTGTTTGTTTAGCTCAGTATAAAAGCTGCAGTGTTGTAAATGTTGGTACTAGGCTATTCAGCATAGTGCTTTTAGATGACCATCTTAAGTGATCTGCTTCAAATGTAATAGTTAATTTTAAAGCTTACTGCTTTTTAAAGAAAGTACTGTATCAGTATCAGCCAACACTCAAGGTTTCGGTCTCTACTTTACAGTATAGTGAACTTGGTTATGGGGGTGAACAATATGATAATATTTATGTTATCACGATAAATTCCGTCACATTACGTAACAATCTCAGTGCTTAACCCCTGGCCAGGAGCCACCAGCTGGCCCAGTCTGTAGTTGTCCACACATAACTTAAAGGAGCACAAAAAAAATGTAACAATTATTGTGAACAAGTGGTGCCGGGAGTGAGATTTTCCAGTTTAAAGGAAATTCTTATGATGTATCTTGAAGGTGGGATGAACATTTGAAAAACTACAAGCACTTTGTTGTATTTTTTGCTAGTGAATTTTTCCCTAGCTGGCTAACGCAGCAGGAAGCCAGATAGCTACTAGGAAGTGCTGCTAGGAAGTCAAATATCATGTCTGTCTCTGATTGCCTCTGCCGCTGGATCTTTATTGCTGTGGGGGGATTCCTAATAGTTGTATGATGTATTTTTGTAATGCATGCTGGGTATTGTAGTGAGATAACATATGTAAAAACACAAAATTGTGAATTCTATCAAACCAGTGAAGCTGAGGGATGCAGTGCTGCGCTACAAAATATTACATAACATGTTACACAAATTACAGATTAACAAATAAGATATAAAACTGTAGCTTTTGGCCAGAATGTGACTTTAAGAATAACTCAGCCAGTTTGTACTGTTTGCCTTGTTATTACTGAATAGTAAGCCTTCAAATGTAAAGGGTTAAATTATTTACATTTATTCATATATTGTTGATGGTGTTTTTAAAAGTGGCACTACAGTTTTCTGTGTTCCAACTTACCAAACCCCAGAAAAACTAAATAGAGTGACGCATATCCTGTACAATGAAAACATCTTTAAATATTAACCTTATCCTACTATATTAGATGTCCAGAAGTGAATGCAGACCAGAGGTGTTTATTCCTTTGACTTTTTCTGCACTTTTTCTCAGGGGAAGGTGGAGGTGGAGGCGGGGAAGGATGGGATGAAGTTTGAAGCCGGAGCTTTTTCATCCTACGGGATGATGGCCCTCACTGCTTCTCCAGGTAAATGGCAGTTCACTGTCCCCTCATGGTCTGACCACTTGGTCACAGCTGGATCTTGGTTAGTTTATTATCTTTTCGTGTGAAGTGCGTGTCAAAGCCAGCAGATTTAGTGTCTGCTGGAGTGGAGAGAGCTAGAGTGCCTGGTACTTGCTATCAGAAGACTTTTGAAGGTCTGGCTGGATGACAACATAGCCACTAGTGTTTTCATTCACAAAAAAGAAAGAAAGGGGCAAAAACAACACAGGCGTGGGAAATATGCGGCAGGGGTTATGCGACCTCTGCTGGGTGAAGATAGGAACTGCACTAAGAAGGACCTAACTGTCCTCAGATATCTAAACCCAGCATGGCTGAGGAACAGACCAGTCATATTTTAATATGCACAATACCTGAACAGGTCAACACTATAAGTATAGCTCAAATTTAGCTTTGATTTGTGTTTGTGATTAGCGACCATCTGGCCTCCTTGTGCTGATATTGTTCTCCTCGCTTTGATGGTTCTTTTACCTAATTATTCTTTCTTGTTTTCATCCTCCTCTCTCTGCCTTAAGTGCTTCTCTCCCTTTCTCGCAATTGCGTGGTCAGTAGGTCTGAGTCACTTGCAGGATCTCCAGGTACTGTAATGTTTCAGCATTTGTCTAGCCTGTGTTCCTGTGGGTGGTTGTTGTTATTTTGTTATGTCACTGTGCTGGCTTGCAGTTTGGTTGCATGGCGTTGACATATTAGCAAGAATGTTTGAGAAAGACCAAGAATGTTGCTTGCTGTCAGTCATGTTCATGATACCATACAGTGTTTGTGCATGCTTGTGTATGGACTGAAGACAAGAACATGATACGATACTGACAAAAGTCAGAGACTTTTTTTTTTTTTTATTTCAATTCAAAACAGCCAGTATGTACAAGTTTTCCATTTTCAGGAGATATTCCTGAGGAGAGGAAAGGGAAAGTCAAAAGAAAATAAGTGATTAGTATAGAGTTAAGTATTAACAGATGCAGAGAAAAAGTATAATATAGTGTAATACAGTCAAAACGGCTAAGTACATGCTGTTCCTATTGCTTGCATAAGGACTGGGATTCCTAAAAACATATAATATAAACATCACCAAATCATAAACATAACTGTCACCAGATAAACAGAACTTAAAGCTTTCATCTTTGAGAGGAGAGGAGAAAATCAAGCTCCACCCTTGATTCAGATCTGCTTCTGATTGGTCCATTCTTCCACTGTAAGAAGACAACGAAATGGGTCTGAAAGGATGTTTAGCTGTCAAGACGCTGTTACCAAGAAAAGAAATAAATCTGCAAATCAAACAAGGAAGCTGCTGGTTTGCTCAGAACAATGGACTTACCACCCCACAGCCCAACATCACTGAATGTATATTTATATTTATATTTAGTTGTTGAGGCTTCTGTGTATTTTTTTAAGTGCTTCTTCCTTTTTCTTGACTCTAAAAAATGAATAACGTCCTTAATGGCTGGAAATGAAATAACTGAAGGGTGATCTCTGACTTTTGTACAGTACTGTTTATGCACTTATAATAAATTTACTGTTGAGCCTGTTTAGAAATAAAAGCTTCGGTTTTATTTAATTTCTTTTAGCCTAAGAGCAAAGGAGAAATCAGTCTGCCTCCTTCACCTCCTTCTAAGTTCTCATACGACAGTAAATTCATAGTATCCCTCCCACTGATTTTGCCAGACTTGGAAAAATAACCAAGGCCTTCATACCAGGCCTCCTACACACACACACTGGTTTGTTTTTATACAATGTCAGGACACTGGGTCATATATATGTATATATATAAGACATATGACTAAGTACATGTAATATGTGTAACAATATTTTTTAAGTACTTCTGTAATAATAATGTCATATATATATACATATACATATATATATATATATATATAAATGCCAGCTAACATTTACAGTGCCAAATGTCATGATGAGTGGACCAGTAGAAATGGTCCAAAAAGATTTGAATAAGTATATAAGTATATGTGTAACAAAAATGTCAGACATGTATTACGTGTATGTAATTATCTATAATAATGTGTCAAATGTGTTATATAAGTACACCTGAGTAATATGCGATACTAACGTCACACATGTATTATATATACTCCCATATTTGATGTATATGAAAGTATTTATAAGTAATAAGAAACTTCTATGTTTAACCCAAAACTCTGACCTCAGTAACCAAAAATGAATGTTTTTTGCTCTTTTAGTTTAAAAAATGAAACATGCTTTTGTCAAATGCACTTTACAAAGTTAGGACCATTTTAAACAGGTTAATCCTGTTTATCTGCATTTTTCTTTCAAAGTCAGGACGTTATTGTCCTGAAAATGTACAAAAACAAACATACATAAGCACACAAATCTCAGCACAAGCATACTCTGACCCCATGCACACACGCTGACCTCATGCACCTCATGTGTGTGAGCAGGGCCCCTCATTCCTGGGCGAGCGACGCAGGGGCTCCTTGCTCCAGCACTCAGACATCCAAACGCGGATTACATACATTCCAACCAAATTGTGGCATTAACACTACCCGTGATTGAGCATGAGTGTGTGTGTTTGTGTTTGTGTGTGTGTGTGTGTGTGTGTGTGTGTGTGTGTGTAAAAGAGAGGGAGAGTGTAGTTGTGCAAGAGTGAGAGAGGCAGAAAATGTGTGTGTGCGTGTGTGTGTGTGTGTGTACACTTGTAGGCCGGCCCCCTTTAAGAAGTGGAAAACATAAGCTGTGTTTAATTAAAACAGCTAGTCTTCTTTCTCAGGGTTGTGAGGCTTTTTATCACTCTTTCTCCAGCTGCTGCTTTCACGCCCACCTGTACTCGACTACCCTTTCTGTGATTGCCATTGTAACATTGACTTGCTTTACAATAGTTGCCCATTGTTTCCATGCAGGGAAGCTAGTGTGGGGTCGGTGGGTAAGGGGCTTAGCCTTGGCCTGTAAACTAAATTATAAGGTAGTAGTAAATTGCAGTTTAGCTCCCTGTACAAACTCACCCCTGCATTTCGAGCTCTTTCATGTCTTGGGCTCAGTTCTTTGCGTCGACTTCTTCCAGTAAGTTCACATGAAAATGAACTTCACTGAGCTGTTTTTTTTTTTGTGTGTGTGGCATGTGTGTCAAGCAGAGAACAAGTCTCCTCCCCGGCCGTACGGACTGAACCACTCGGACTCTCTGAACCGGAGCGACCGCAATGAAGTCATTAACCCCCCACTGGGCAGCAGCAACAACCAGCTCAACTCCTTCCTGCAGATCTACTCGCCGGACTACACAGTCAGAGCGATCACAGACCTGCTATATGTCAAGGTGAATATACATAAGCATTGGCTTAATTCTCCACCAGCTTAAAGGTGCACTGAGTGATATTTTAACATGAGCAAATCTACCATGGACGATAGTTAGTCGTGGCTTACCGTGCCCTCAGAACTGGAAGTGACCTGGAGTGTCATACCAAACATTAGACTACCCTTCTGAACGGTTTATGAATGGTTTAAAATTGGTTTGTTAATAGTTGTTGGGTCATAAGCGTTTTAAAAATCATTAATAAGCAGTTACAGCACATTAATAAAAAGAGCAAAAGTGAGCTGTTATATCTGATGAATATGTATATGTGATGAAGTTGACAGGTTTAATGCTGACCGATGAAGACAAAGGAACCATAAAAATCTGCAGCCACACTGGCCCTTTGCAGGAAAGATTGGTCACCCTAGATTTAGGAGCTTCCATATGCTGTCTGCAACTTCCATGAGCTTCTCCAAAGTTGGCCTTCTTTTGCCGTCAAAGTAGAAGAAAATCTACTTTGGAAATGCTAAAGTATGTACACATTTGCATGTATCATAAGGATATGCAGAGCATGGGGTCCACAGACTGGTACTGGGAACCTCTGACCTGAATACCTAGTCCAATCTTCAGCTGTTCAGACAGCCAGAGGAACTTAATTCCATCACTTGTGTGCCAGTACAGAGAAGAGTCTTGAGGCTTGTCTTCCTCTTCTTTAAGGGTGGTGAGTCAATCTGTAATTTTGGGCTGTAAGTGGTTGAGGTATGACACTTCATTTGAGGATTGCCTTCAGGTAGGAAGGGACAGGTCCATTTTTGGCTTTGTAGTCAAGTTCACTTTCAGGACTTTAAATCTGTGTGAACAGTCACAGGAAGCCAATGGAGGGACCACAGCAGTGTAGTGATGAGGATAAGTTAAGAAAGATTAAAGTCATGACACTGCATTCTGCATCGGCCGCAATGGCGTGTACAGTCCAACCAGAAGAAGGTTGCAGTAGTCAAGTCTGAAGATGACACAGCATTGAACAAGCATCTAAGTGTTTGCAGAGAAATAGCTGAATCTTCCCGATGTTATCTGAGAGAAACCTGCATGAGAGGCTCAGGTTTGCAGGATGCTGGAAACGATTGGACTGGTCATCCAACACCACACTGAGGTTTTGTACATTTTTTCTTAAAAGGAGACAAGACCCCAGCAAGGACAGGCATTTTTCACTAATTTTTAAAAATCAATCCGCAGTGGGACATACAACATTTTATGTATATTTTACCATCTTGGCTGTAAATATGTCTCAGTATGTGCTAGTTATATATAATGTTATAATCTTACAGTATAGGCTAAAAATAATGCAGACTTACCTTGCTTTGCTTTGAGCTTTAGCTCAGCTATAGCTAATTTTTTTGTAAACTCCGGCTGGATACTTTTCCAAAGTAGGTCAGTTTCTTGTAAAATGTCTCTCAATGTTCAACTTTTTATGATGCTAAAGTCAACTTCTCATTCGCCAGCTTCTTGTTCAAGTTTTTCCATTCCACCTTAAATGGTGCCTGAGGCGCCAGAATATAACTGCCGCACTATTTAAGTTGGAACGGGGGAATTCGAACAAGAAGCTTCTTTCACGACTTTTAGTGTTTGAGAGTTTCTCCTTGCAGATTAAACGTATCAGGAAACCAGCTGAGTGCTTAGAAATGCAAATAAGTCCATTTGTCTCCAAATTATCAATGTGCAGCTTAAGTCTTTCTCTTTGCCGTTTTGTTAGCTACTAGCTAGGTGAGATTTTAGTCTGTGTTGCTATGGTGACCAGTAATTTATGCTCCAACCATCTGTGAATCAGCAGTTATTAGCTACAATAACTCCAGCGTTTAAGACCATTTATTGTAAAAACTGTGTTGAACGATCAGCAGAGCTTTATTTTACCGCAAAGGGGGATTATTTTACTTTTACCTACATATCTAATTTTGCTGTGGAGCTGCAACAGGACAATAAAAGAGCCACATGTTGCCGACCCCTGCATTAGGTGATGGGAAATGTCTGTCAAACATGCCAAGATACAAGTAAAAACCTGAGTTTCTGATGGTAGAAAGGAAAAGGTCAGTTGAGTGTCGTGACCAAGAGAGCAGGTATACAGGCAAAAGAGGAGTGGACAAAGCACTGAGCCTTGTGGCACACCGGTGGGGGTTTGCGTAGACCCTTTTCATGTCACCTAATACAAGTCAGGTAGGGTGCAAGCAGCTGGCATGCTGAACCAGTGATTCCAAAACTGCTGAGGATGGGCAACAGGATATTATAGTTGACCATGTCAAACACCACAGAGAAGAATCAGGAATGGTTACAGTTTGGTGTGTCGTGGGGTGTCATGGAGGTTTTTAGTTACTGCCGTGAGTGCAGTTTGTGTAGAGTCCTGTAGAGTTTGAAGCCAGGCTGGTTCAGTTTTAGAAAAGATGCTGCTGACATCAGAAGTAACTAGTGTGGGCTTTTTCAGAATGGCTACCAGTCGGGTAGTCTTAAAGAGAGTCGGTATGTCACCTGCTGTTACAGACCTGTTTATGATGGATGTGATGAAGGGAAGCAGGTCATGGGAGCATGGAACATCATAGGTGGGATGGGGTCCTGTGGGCAGGTGGTAAGATTACTGGAGTTGTAGAGTATATTTGGAGGAGAAAAACATGTTAGGGAATTGTAGGGGAGAGATTGAAGAGATATTGGGGGAAGGTCCCGTTAACCCTTCAAAGAGGGTAACAAAATTGGGGGAGGGTTGATGAGGGAAGAACTTGCATGGTAAGGAGTTTGCATGAGTTCAGTGCAGATGCTCCCAGACTAGATAGGATAGTGTAGGTTATTTAGCTTAATGAAGAGACGAACATATCAGTAACATTGATAATGAGAGATATAAATTATTGAAAGCAAAGTAGTTACTGTGATGTCCTGTTCTGGGGTCAGTCTGCTGAAGATCAGGGCAAGGACATTACCTGCTTTGTTGGTTGGTAGAGATTTGTTTGGGGGCAGGAGTGAAAATGATAACAGTGGGAGAAGACAGGAGAGTCTGTTAGCTCACATAACAGACACAAACATTTTGAGCTGTGCAATGACATTAGTGGCAGTTTGAAGATATACAGTGGTGCTTCACATGACTCAGAGGAAGCCTGTGTAAGTCCCAGCATGGTGGCATTGGGGGAGGACTTAGCTAGCATATGAGAATTGGCGGTGACTAAATTGAAAGGAGAAAAGTTAGGCAAAAAAATCAAATTCAGAAAAGTAACAGCTTGTGGTAACGTTAACAAGCATCAATCATAACATTTTTACCTTGTCTGTGCTCGGTAGGTGACCCGTCAGCAGTACCAGAACGCACTGATGGCATCGCGTATGGACAAGACGCCGCAGTCGTCAGACAGCGAGTACACCAAAATTGAACTGACTCTCACAGAACTCCACGACGGCGTGGCCGAAGAGACGGCCATCCTGCTCAACCAGACGCAGAACTGCGTGGCCCATAAGAAGGCAAACCACACGGTGCACAACGAGGGTGCAGTCTAGCCACCACCGGGGTGGTCGGGAGGGGGTTTACGGTATGGTTTCACCCCCCGAGCCATCCCCCGCCACCCCCTGTAACAGTCAGACTCAGAGCTGCAACGTACTGCTCAGCAGCACCTGGGTTTTCCTGACCCCGTAACAGACTGGGACAGCCGGTTCAGTTCCACATAAACCCCGCCGTGTGCCTGTCCACCAGACCAAAGAGTTTGGAGTTTGGACACCCTCCCCTTCCGTCACAAGGCCCTGAACCTACTTCCCTACTGTCCCCTTTAAGGTGCCGGAAGAACTTCTGGGATAGCGGAGGACCACGAACTCAAATGGACCATTTTTTTCTTCTTCGGCCGATACTGTCATATGGTGAGTCAAAGACTGTGCCAAATACTGCTTTGAAGGAAACCATGAACCGTGTACCAAGAGCATTTTCCTCCTGTATTTATTTATTTTATAAGTCGATTGTATATAATATATATATAGATATACAGATACATACATACATATATATATATATATATATACATATATATATATATATATGCGTAGATATATTTGTGCATGTCTGTGGATTTAATTATCGGCACTATAAAAAATCGAACACACTTTACAAAAATAACACTTTGTAAAATTCAGCAGCGTGTGCGTACTGTATATGTGTGTACATGTGCCTTTGAGAGTATGACTGTTATACCTTGCACATGCTATATATATATATATATATATATATATATATATATGTAGTTATGAATACATTACTGTATGTGTATTGGTGAGAGTCTTTTACATATATGTATATTACAGATATTGTTATTTTTACTATTCTAAATCAGGCATACGGTACAGTACATTTTACACCTTTTTAAAAAAAGAATCACGTTATTGCCTTTAAAATCATATTAATTTTTTAACAAGTGCAATGAACCATATTCTATTTAAAAAGATGATTTATTGATAAAAAGAAAAAAATCGGTATATTGTAAATTATAGATATATTTGTATGCATCCACTGTGTCTCTCAAGTTTCTGTTTGGTCCCAAATGTGTACAGGCATAATCACTCTTTCACCAGCTGCGTGCCTAAGAAAGAACAGCCTAATTTATTTGTATCTGTGCCTCTTTTATGTGGGATACAAACCTGGGCTGAATGCAGTTTTGAATCTCAGTCAAATCAGTTGAAGCATTCTGTTACTATGCATACTGTTTGTAAGTGATTCCTAATTGCCTTGATGGTCACATACAGTGAACTAGCTACTGCCTGCTTCTACCTGAGTGACAACAGCGCCTGTGGCTTTTAAACCATTACACTAAGAGCTTAAAGACATTTCACATTAAAAAGACTCTATAAAGACTCCAGCAGTCTTTGTGTATATGCTCCCTCTATACTGCGTGAGTATCATAAGATACTGATACTGCTCTTTGGACTGGATGGTAAGTCTACATGCAGTCAGGTTGATGAGAACTTTCTTCAGTCCGCTGTGGGTGTGTTTGTCAAAACTGTGCAACAGTTCAACAGCTTCATCATCGTTTCAGAAACATAGACTGTGTTTTAAAGAGAGTTTCGTAATCGATGCCTCAATAAATCTTCACTGAATAACCAATAATTTAAAACGTGACTCATAATAAAAAGAGAACATTGGTGTTTATGCATCTTCCACAGAAAGACTCCCAACAACATGCAGCAGGAGACTGACTACAATCGAGACAGTCGTATGCAAAAAGTTAAATACCCCCAGTCAGGTTACGTGTTTTGTTGATTTTCTATGTGATGATAAGTTGACACATCCTCTACAGAGAACTCACTTAAATATGACATTTGTCTGCAAATTTTGGGGCACGGTTTCTATGTATCTGCTGAATTTAACATATTGAGAAAAATCATTTTTGCACCACTCACATTTTACCAAATTCAGCAAGTGAACAGTAGTTGTGCATTAAAATGTGCAGAAGTTTGTTCTCTGTAGAGGATTTTAATGTCAATCTGTGCATCCGACAGTATGAGGAAAATTTTAAAAAGTAATTGAGAGTAATGTGTCATGCAGGATTTGCTATTTACATTTTTAGGGTAGATGGAGCACATTTGTAACATTCTTTTGTTTCTTGCACAGAACCTACAGGTGGAAACCATCTGATTTTTATGTACAGTGCTGTGCAAAAGTCATTTTTGCCAAATTATTTTATTAATTTCCATTTCCAGTCGAAACAGCCATTGTCATTTTCCAGCATCAAGAAAAAGCAAAGAAAACATATTTAACAGAAATTTACACAGAAACTTCACAAATTAAATAAAATACCTTTTTTCAGTATTTAGCAGTTCCACACTACCTTTATTACAGCTTGTATTCTTTTCAGGAGATTTCAGGATAATTTTTCATGCCTCAAAAGTTCAGTCTTAGAAGTTGGTTGCATTTTCTGCTGCTCATGATCCAAATTATCCCAATTACAACTCATGAAATTATGATTCATCAGTCCAAAAACCTCTCGCATGTCCAGTTTCGGTGTTCTACTGCAAATTGTCTTATTTTTGTTTGTCTTTTCTCAGTAGCGGCTCCTTTTAATCATTTTTAGAACCCTGGTTTTGGAAAATGTGCGAAGCAGCTAAGGTGTGTTTGGGTAGTAGCTTGTGTGAATGTTAGCGTCTCTTTGAAGGGGAACATAATGTCAGTGGCTCCTTTGGGAACAGCTTTCTTTGAGAGAATGCAGCTGTTTTGAGATTGGAAGGATGGAAGAGTTAAAGTGTCAGTAGAGTGCACAAAAGTAAAGAGTAGGCAAATGAAATACTGATAGGTTTAATATTTTAGTTATGATGTATTTTCTGTTAAATCTGTGTTTTCTGCTTTTTTCCTGATGCTGAAAAATACATAACTTGTACTTTATCATTTTGACTAGAAATGATTAAATAATAATATAATAATAATAAATAATTGGGACGTCTTTGCACAGTACTGTATGTGTTATGTAACTACTAACAAATTGCCCCAGAGACAGTCACTTATTTATTTTTTGTTATGTTTCGAACAAAATTAAGGCACCATCATTGTTTAATGATTTACTGAATCAACGCTCCATTTGTTTCTCTATGAGGCAAATTATTAGCCTACTCTTCACAAACGTCCTGACCTCAGTATCTGGAGTATTCTTCTTTCAAGTCGAACTTATTTGACTTGACTCTTTCTTCCCATTTTTATAATCACTGTAATAATAATAATAATAATAATAATAATAACAATAATAGTTTTATTTACAGAGCACTGTTTGTACTGGTGACAGCTTAAAGTGCTTTACAGACAGGGAAAAAAGAAATCGTATAAGAAATCTTGTTTTTATAATCTAAAATGGAGTCTTTAAAAATGTTAAAGGATGCCTTGAATAGAGCTAATTGAGTCATGTGCAGTAAACACTGATGTGTCTTCAATAAGGGAGCCTTAAATTCTTTTCATATTAAGTGGAAAGATTAGCCAGGTGTCCTTTACATCCCCACTGCTCTTCTTCCTGAGTGCACGACTACAGACCAACTTCATGTAGAGGCTAATGTACAGTAGCTGCCCTGGTAAAGTCATATTACTGGCTTTGTTCTTGTAGCTTTAGAGTCAGTTCATTATTCGGCCACTGCTTGGCGCTGTCTTCTTACACTTCCTCATCACTCAGTCACCTAATGTGTTTGGAATATCAGAGAAGGGGCTGGTAGCTTTGGAGCTCTGCTAAAACAAGAGCTGTGGTGACTCTGAGGTTATTAAGTGTCTTTGCTAACAACACAACAGAGATCTCACTACTCCAGTATAATGACTGATGGGGATTGAAGTTTTATGAAGCTTTTAAAATGGATTTTTTTTACACTGTAGCATGCCATGTACAATTGTGTGCAAAAGTTTGTGCACCCCGGTTAACGCTCTGTTGATTTTCTAAGTAAAAATAAGTTAACCCCCCCTTTCAAAAGAGAACACACTTTAGCATGTTTAAACATTGTTTATGTTTACAGTGCTGTTTATTTGCTGAATTTAATATATTGGGGGAAAAAAAATGTGGCCTGTGTAAAAGTGATGGCACATTTTATATTTTCTGTTTTATTTTTTATGTTAAACTCAGCAAATACATATAAATCATGCAGTAAATTGGGTAGAAAAATATCATATTTAAGTGTCTTCTCTGTAGTGGGTGTGTTAAGTTATATTCACTTAGAAAATCAACAAAACGTCATTTGCCTGGGGGTGGAGTGGGGTGGGGCAGGTTGGTGTTCGAGCGTTTGCATGACTATAGCCTTATGAAAAACAAATTTAGAGAAATGAATTTAATTTTACATTTGTGGTCACCAGTAAAAGTCAGTCTTGGTTACCTTAGTTGGGAATACTAGGGATCATCATGTATTTAGGTACATATCATGAATGATGTTCTCTTTTTTTGTAATGCTTTACACAAATTCCTCACTGCAACAAACAGTAAAACAGAGGGGCCTTTATGGATGGAATATGTGGTTATATTATGAACAGGTCAACACATGAAATGGCAAAACGTAAAACTGCATGTAAATAAACTGTACGCTATTACACAAATAGACCTTCGCACAATTGGGGGCGACAATAAACAAAACAGTGTGTTTAATGAAGATATGCAACCCAACCAACTGCCTGGAGCTAACAGAGAACTTCTGTAAAAGATTTCTTTATTTTATGTTTCAATGCATTTTACCAAATGTACAAGGTTGGAAATCTGGTATAAGAACAAAAGAGACGTACACAAACATGTAGTGACTGGGGGAACTGAATGAATCACAGCATGGCAGAACCTTTTTTTTTATCTAGTACTTATTTGGCACCTTTTTTCTTGCATGTCTGTAGAAATGTAAAATGCGAAAGAATGAAATTGTTATTAATCCCAGTCCATTCCATAGGGATCTCCCAGGCCAGTCCACATCTTTGCCGCTGTTTCCGAGCTCGAGAACTGAATACAGCTGCACTGGAAGCTGTGATAGAACAAAAATATGGGAACAGTTTCTCTTAGGAACAACTGGGGGTTTATTAAGGTCATGTTCTTTGTTCAGTAAAGCCCAGATAAGACACTTCTAAATATAACTAGCACTGCAAGTTCTAGTTAGTGTCATGTAACTTCTGGAGTTTTATTGCTTCATCACTATTTAGAGGCCCAAAAAAAGGTCAAACAAATTTGCATCTTATATTCTAAAGTAAAGATTTCATGGCTTTTTGGGAAACAAACATGCAAGGATGATATTTCATCCTTACTTACTTCAACCAAAATATGAGATCTCTTGTGTGGAAGAGATTCCAATCTTTTTTTGGCAATCAAAACATCTTATTAGCACAAAAATAATAAACTCCAGAAGTTACATGACACTTTCTAGAACCAACAGAAATAAAATGTTGCCCATTACATGTTAGTAAGATGTGGATTTAGGTGATTAATTCATGCTGGATCATTTTGAGATCTTTACAAAGTGTTTACAACTAATCATGCAATTATTAGTGATTTTCACATAAAACACCTTCAATTATGTACCAACTGTGGTCATAATAAACAAAGCTTAACACAGAGTTAATAAAGCTTTTACAAGTGTGTAAATCTGGCTTTACTGAACAAAAAACAAGACCCTAATAAACACACAATATGTGTTCCTTACAATAAAGTAATAGTAAAATATGGACTGTTCTGGAGATCCACAAGAACTGGAATGGATAAAACTGTACAACAAATTAATGGCGGACAATTCGCATAATACCAAAATGCCTTGACAAATTAGAAAACAAAAATTAAAAAATAATAATAATAATAATACAGCACAACTTTAAGAGGAACAGTATGTATTACCACTTGATGGAAGAAGTATGACGAACCCCACTGTAAACTATGCAAAAGAACAATTGCATGTTTTCATACACTGAACAGAGGCTCAAGGCTACAGTGCCTTTTTCAAAGACACAGACGAGCTCTTTATATTTTCAATTGCAGAGTAAATAAGAGTTATTTTTAAAGTGAACAAAGTATAAAATATGGTTTCCTCTGTTGTAGTGCCATTAAAAAGGACAACTGAGAGAATACTGTAAATACCTTCAGCGTAGTGCTGGGCGATACTGATAAAATTCAATGAGATATTTTCTGATATATATCTGAATATATATTACTTTAATGCTAAAATAATCTGACAGTTTGTTTTGATCTATTTTCTTCTCTTAAAATTTACAATAAGGAAACCTTTTTAAATCGTGTGTGTTATGAACTGTTATTTCAAAACATTCTGAAGTACTTGGTAAATAAGTTTGAAGTTGCCAGGTTCTGGATATCATGAGTACAGTGCTGAACAAATAGGATTAAAAAAAGGAGCACCACAATATTATAGGCATCATGTCATGGACATCAAATATATGCTAGCAAGGTTGGTAAAAATATCACTAAAATTGAAAAGCAAGGTCACTGTACGTCACAGTGTGTCGATATAAATGATATATCACCCAGCACTACTTCAGCGGTAGCTTACAATCAAAGTGACTGCCTTAAGATCCAGCCCAACTGGACGGTTTGGACAGCACACGATGGGGAGTCCAAGCCCAACATGAGACTTTTAAGAGCTGCCTTGTATTCACTTTTCCAGTTTCTTTTTTAAAACAATGGTTATGCTTCATCTTACGTAATAAAAATAACCTGTATATGAATATGAAATACATTTGCTAGTTTTTCTGAAACATTCACCTTTCAAACATCGTGTCCACCTGCCCCAAGAGTTTTTTTTCCCCATGAACCAGGTAAGACAAGATGATCAATAATACCTGTTAATCCTAACTTTCCATGGACTCATGACAACTTTTTTCCCTCCCTAAAATAAAATGATATACATTAAAAAATACACTCTACTTATGGTAATACATGGTGCAGTAAATATACTGTAGCTTTATTAAATCCGCTGTTAGCGAGCTTGTTTGTATATACAGTACTGCATGTCATTACACATACATTAGAATACCTTTTTTCTTATTTTTCTCTTATAAGCTAGATTCTAACCATTTATGGACCAGTTTAGCTGTTTTTCTACCCTTTAAAATCACATGCACCTAATGTATGTATTGCTTTACACTGAGATCAAAAGGACTTTGTTTAGTTGGGAAACTAAAGGAAAAACACTGGTCAGCGTGCTCTTAATGCTATTGGTCCACACAAGAGTAAATTCTCCAATCACATCAAAACACTGGCCTGAACTACTTTAATTGCCATGGCAACAGTCGCTGAGGGCAACTCCTGCCCTTTGATTCGCCCGTCTCATCAACAAATAATTGTTGACGGTAACGTCATGTCTTTTTCTTTTTGACCTCTGAACTTCAAATAAAAAAATCAAGATGCTAATATTTGTTATATCTATTCACAAGTTCTTTCTAAATGCTCTTCTCACAACAGCTACAAAATACAGTATGTACAAGGTTTTTTTCTCTTTTTTTCTTCTGCATATCAAGGTCACTTCTGCATGGTAGCTACAGTTATGAAACAGTATGTTGGTAATGGGATGCTGTTAAGAGTTTGGTACTATAAGTCTGAGTACAAAAATAGAGCATGTTAGATTCTGCATGACAATATTGTTTACTTTTTAAAATAGCTAAGTATCTGTAGGTGTGTATGTAAAAGAGAAGGAGAGAAAGAAAGACAGACAGAGAGAGAGCAAGAGAGAAATAGTATGATGGGGAGAATGAAAGGGAGAGAGCTTATGAAAGTCAGAGAGAGACAGAAAGAGAGGATGTGTGAGGGAGACAATGACAGTGTGTCAGAGAAAGAGCGAGAGAGAAACAGAAAGATAGAAAAATGAGAGAGAGAGAGAGAGAAAGAGAGAGAGAGAGAGAAAGAAAGAGAGAAAGAAAAAGAGAGAGAGAGAACAGGTTATATAGCCAAAAGTGCCTCTGTTGACAGCACTATCCTTGGCAGTTGACATCGCTGCCATTAAAAAAAAAAATCCAAGACAGAACAGAAATCCCCACTGGCCTTATGCAGTTTGCCTGGCACAGTGGTTGCCAGGTAACGGGGGCTCTTGTGTTAGCAGCATTCTTTCCTAGCCGACACATTAGCCGTCACCGCTCGCTGAAGCCCCTCTGAACTTCATTCACATTCTCATCACAGCCAGGCCTGTAATCGGGGCACCACGGCCTGGGCTTCTTAATAAAACTCCAACAGACTCACTCTCTTCTTTTTCTACTTCTCCTCCAGTCCTGTATGAGGCAGCCTTTAGCCAAACTAGTCAGCCTGTACTGCACTAGCAAAAGGGCTTAAACCAGGGGAAAAAGGTTAAAGGGGAATCGCACCGATTTTTCAAAATTTCTGCATAATTAAACGGTTAGGATGTAAACAAAGTTAGAGTGGTTTGATAAGAAATGTGCCATTATAGAGAAAATTACCAAGCCAAATTATGAATATGTTGCATGATGCCTAAAACATTGTTTTAACATGGCTCTGAAATAAGATTTTGGCATAAAATCTCTTCTTTTTTTTTTTAAATGGTGGAGAAGTGTTACATGCAGGGTGCTGTAAGGAAAAATAGTACCTAAAGAAAACTATTTACGCTGTAGACATCAAAACGCCTGGTTCCTATCAGCACCACTGTAAAGAAATCTGAGTGAGTAATTTTCTCTAAAATTAATAATTTACATCAAACCACAACAAATGACTTTGTTTGCATCACAACAACTGAAATATAATGATAATTTTGAAAGATCAGAGGAATTCCCCTTTAAAAGGAAGAGAAAAGTAAAAATAAAAACATAACTACAGTCCTCATAAACATGGACGGACCATAATTTGCTGAGTTGCCAAGTATGCATAGTCAAGATTTAAAATACACTGACTTTAAATGCACCATGTACGACTTCAATGGCCCCTTAGCCATAGGACCAGATATGACCTTACAATAAGCTCCACCCAGCCCTTAAGTACAGTTACCAGGCCCAAACTGATATACAAAACCCTTTGTCTGACAACTGTTCACACGAGTTATACACGTACACCTTAATGTAAACTCATTAGAACTCCTGTCCTATAGCAGCTACAGCGAGTTTATAGTAAAAGAAACTATGGACTATGTGCTTTGTTGTTTTCCTTCAAACCGTTCCTCTTGATTGTTTGAAAAACGACAGTATGAACTGATTTTATCATTGTTAAACTGACGCATCTAGAGCATTTCTAGAGTAATATTTTCACCAATATAAAAGTCTAGAGAAAAGTCTTTTACATATTTTCCCTTTTTTTTTGGAAGGAGGGATTGAACTGCCGAGCCAAAGTGTGGTTCAGTATAGTCTGATACATGTGCTACTCATACAGTTCAAAAATAAGAAAAATAAAGGATTAGCTCAGTTTTCCCTCTTCGTTTCCTTACAATGTCTCTGGCTCACCACTGCTCTCTTTGCTAAAGCTAAACATTTCAACAGCCAGTCAGGCCTGGCCAAAGAAGGTCATGTCATCTATTCTTCCTCCTCCTCCTCCTCCTCTTCCTCTTCCTCCTCCTCGTCGTCGTCTTCATCGTGGCAGTGTGTGATCTCCTGCGGGGTTTGAGGGAACAGGTGTGGAGGTTTCATTTCGCTGACAGAGCGCGTCAGCTGGCTGCGTTTGCAGTCAACATCCTTGCAGTCCACGCAGTGGCGGTTGCGTGTGGCCAGCGGTGACTCGATGTCCATGTCCACGTGCGTGTGCTCCACCGTAGACTCATGAGGCATCTGGGCAAACAGAACAAACAAAACATAAAAAATGAGATGGAATTTCTGGGCAGATAATGACAGCTGATACTCGATGTCTTGTTGTGCCTAATATGATAACTTATAAAATAATATCAGGGCTTTTCAACAATTTGATAGAAACAATTAAGTGCATCATGAAATCTTACCTATCACCACAATTTGATTTGATATTATTCTGGCCAAAAAATGCATGCAAACTTTACTGAAAATCATTATACATCTATTATAATGTATTTTAACATTCAAAAATTAATGCACCTGAATCATCAGGATGATGTATTTGCTTTTTGACACCACCAAAGCCTTCATTATAATGTACATACACTACCATTCAGAGATTTCAAATCACCTCAGCAAAAAACCTAATTAACACAATTTTGCTAACGCTGCAGGCCAAACACTATACATTCTGGGGATGTTTTTATGGAAAAGATTTGGGTGGCTACTGACTTCTAATGTTAGCAACAATAGCCTTGTAGCTCCAGCGCTAAACTAAAGAAGCAAAATTTGGACATCAGATGTGTTTTTGCTGATGAACTACATCTAGTGTATGTGGAAAGACTAACATTTCCTTGAACAAGTGTTATTCAATAATGACTTATACAGCGTAGATTAACATCAAAATGTAAAACAATGGTTTACTTCTAACTGAAATAATTTTTGGAACAAGACAAATTTATAACATGGTAAAAAATAGTAAACGGGCATTCTGGATCTAAACTGTATTACAGTTAATTATCGATGCTATATAGCTGTCTTAATTAGTATGGAATCATCTACAACTCAGCTTGTCATCAAAATGTATTACTTTTTCCCTGCGTCCTACCACTGTTTAACATATTCAGAACAGAAATGAAAAATCAGAGAATTAAAATGTACCCCATAAATGTATATCACACTGACTAAGCAAAAGTGGAGTAGAACGACATAAAAATATGTGTGTTAAAGTATGGAGTGCGGAAAACAGCATTAATGCCATAATAATGGCCAGAGCAGTGAGGGGAGCTCAGCAGAGGCTGGATTATAGTGGTCCTAATACCCTCTTCAACTGCTGCTTTCAGATTAACCTTCATAACACTGATTTGGTTAGCAGTGTGCTGTTGATTAAGCTTGAGTATAGGAGTGATTATTGTATGGATCGGCAGTCCACACACAGGTACATTCTCGTCCTCGTCCAGTAAGTAAATCGCCTCTTATCATTAATTGATTAACAATCTATAATGGATTAGATTTTATCCAACGTCACATTTTGAATAGCTGTATCTGGTCTTCCACAACTGTTTGCCAGATTTTACATATAATCATTAACGACTGAACAAATATACTGCAAAAAATGTTATAGCGCAAAATATCATTTCTCATTTGTGGCTGACTTACTGGTATGAGGCCTTTATTTAGCACTAACTATATATATATAAATATATATATATTACACACACACACACACACACACATATATATATATATATACACACACACACAACCAAAGTTGCTATTGGCTCATTTTTATTAGCTTTCATTTTTAAATGAACATAGCTGAATGAATATAGATGAAGGAATACAATAACAAACTGGTCTCACCAGCACATGTGCAGCTCTGAACAGGTAGCTGAAGGGGTAGTAGAGCAGGTTGATGAAGGAGGCGGCATACAGGTCAGCATAGCGCATCACCTGCGATGCGAACAGTGTCTGTCGAGAGCCGCTGCGGAACAGACTACCCATCATGCCGTAGCACATGTCCATGTCATGGGTCACTTTCTAGAAGGACAAAATCAGACGAGACAAACCCTCTTTTTAATGAAATATACACCCCATCGGGGAAAAAATCATAATAAAACCTCTCCAAAAAGGAGAACAATATTCTTAACTGTTATGCACATTAACACACTGAGCTTTTAGCGTTGGCTTAATAAGGTTTCGGACCATTTGTGTAGATCTATCATAAAAAGTTAATATTATGTTATAGGTAAAGGTATCAAATGATTAAAAAGACAACGAAGCAAAAAAAAATGTTTGGAGGTGATGTGACAGCAATCATCTATGAAACCTTATTCATTTGCAGAGTTCTGTTACTTGTGGCATTTTCTTTCCCCCTGGCAGAACAGTACAGTAAAAGTTATGGTTACAAATCCGAACCCAGAACAATCTGTACCCTGCTCGAATACCTGTGTCTGTTTCCCATAGCGTAACTGAACTGTGAAAGTAGGCAGGGTTCTCTTTAGCTTGTGTCATCACACAATTTCTTATGCAAATCTAGCATTAAAAGTAAATAAAAACAACAGCAAAAACAATGAGCTGCAGGTTCCGATTTATGTTTTACTGCATTTGGTTTTATGTGAGAGTCACAGACAGCAATTTCAGATTGCAAGCATTTTTTGTTTTGTTTTTAATGCCAGTCATCTGACTCCAAAGACAGCGCCTAACGATTCTGTGATGACTGTCTTTAATCAGTTAGCAGTTTGCAACATTACAAACTCCACCTATATGTTGCAGGTTGGCACACTTAGTACCCAGCAAGAAGATTTAACAAATGGTGATAAAATGCGTGATAATGGATTTGTAACCATACTGTACTGTACCGCACTGCCCAGTGGAAAAACAGCAACAGAAAACAGTTACTACACTGTATAATACAGCAGAAAAGGATTCTGTGAATGGTGCCTTTTGTGTCTTTGTCTTTGACAATGACTTCACTAAACTGCAAGTGTGTATTTAATTGTTGATTCTGGTCCATTAAAAGTTTCAATACACCTTGCTTTCTTTTTCAAATGAGAATTAGCAAAAATGCCAGCAAAGGTTTTTTGTTAACATTTACAATTATCTGCTAATGCTTTGGGTACGTGTGGCATCAATTTCAGCTTCATGTTCATCAAAGTATTTTTCTCGGTATGAAGAGCAGATCTTGCCTAAATCATGATCTGTTCTCTTTTCCAAAAAAAAAAAAGTACATCTAAAAAATCTTTTGACCCAAAGGTGGTTTAAAAAAGTGAAAAGTTTGAGTGCTGAATTCTGATATCACAACAAGGATTTGCAGAATGAACGTGTGTGTACCTTCACTCGTCTCTGGATGGCACTAATGTCTGGTCTCTCGTTGCTGCTGCTGTCTAGATGTCTAAGAGTGAGGGAGAGAAAGAAAAAGAGAGAAAGAGAGAACATATAGGTCACATCAGCAAGGGAAACATAGGGACAGAGAGAAAGAGGGACAAACACGGGAAAAAAAGGAAAGGGAAAATGGAGCGAGTCCAAAAAAGATCGGGGCGGGAGGGAATGTAGTGGAAACAGACAGCCATACAGAGAGGTCATCCTGGTTAAAAATAACCCCTCATGTGTGAACCCTATGCTTTATCGACAGATGAACCCTTTGACCGCTGCACACTTTGTACCCTGAGCTCACGTTCTCTCTCTCTCTCTCACACGCTGACAGTTTGTTTTTGTAACATGTGAAGATATGGCTCACACACACACACACACACACACACACACACACACACAGGAACTGAGGAAATAGAATTTAATAAATATGGACATCGTATAAAAACAAACTTGTGTTACATACAAACACTGGCCAGCCACTTCATTTCAGCAGTGCTGCTGGAGTTTTTAAACACCTCAGTTTCACTGCTGGACGGAGAATAGTCCACAAATCAACACATCCAGCCAACAGCATCCTTTGGGCAGCATCCTGTGACCACTGATGAAAGACCAGAGCAGGGGTGCACGAGTCCGGTCATGGAGGGCCGGTGTCTAGCAAAGTTTGGTAGTTACCCTACTCAAATACACCCTCTAAACCAGAAGTTGAATTAGGTGTATTTGAGCGGGTAAATCACCCAACTGTGCTGGACACTGGCCCCCCAGGATCGGAGTTGTGCACCCCCAGACTAAAGGATGACTAACGAAAACTGTGCAGCAAAAGATGAGCTATTGTCTCTGATGTTATATCTGCAGAGTGGACCAACATAGTAAGAGTGTCTAACAAAGTGGACACAGTGTTTAAAAACGCCAGCAGCACTGATTGTATCTGATTCACTTGTACCAGCACACTAACGTGGCACCATGTCAGTGTTACTGCAGTGTGGAGACTGATCCACCACCCAAATAATACCTGCTCTGTGGTGGTCCTGTAAGGGTTTTGACTGTTGAAGAACAGAGAAAAAGGGGGCTAACAAATTACGCAAAGAACCAGATGGACTACAGTCTGTAATTGTAGAACTAAGAACTAAGTGCACCTATATGGTGAGTGGAGCTGATAAAATGGATAAAGAGTGTAGATATAAGGAGATGTACTTGCTGGTCAGTGTATATGTAAGTACCTGAAAGTAACTGAATATGTGCCATACGCATTAAACATATGTAAATACCTACACATAATAATGTGTCCAATATTTGTCATGTACAGTACTTTGATTTGTTAAATTCTTTTAGCAGCACTTAATGAAGTATTCATTAAATAAACTAGGTACAGGATGATAACTGTGAATACCGGATGCTGAACAACTTTACATATCACTTTTTAGAAGACTGCACAGGACTGTATATGTACGTATTTACAGTACGCATCAAATCTTTATGTAATTTTAAACCTTAACCTTTTCCTCAATAACCAAAAAGAAAAGGTTTTGCTTTTTATTTCTAAACAAATAAAACATGGAGCGTATGTTCTGTATAAAGCAATATGTAAAGCCAGGACCATTGTGCTATTCGCAATACTGCAGGTTAGCCCTATTTATCTCTGTTTTTCCCACAGAATCACGACATTTTTGTCCTAAAAATATACAAAGACGCTCTCCACCACACACACAGAGGACATTCAGGTGCTCAGGGCACTACAAAGAAGGCTTTGCTCACTTGTACAGCTCTGCCAAGAAAATGTCCAAGCCCTGGAGTTCTTCAAATAGTGCTGTGAAAGACAAACAGAGAGATAGTCATGAACAAGCCCTGCCACATACCCCTCTCTCTCCCATTCTCTCTATCGTTCTCTCTGTTTTTCTCACATACTCCAAAAGGATTCCAAATTCCTCTATCCATCCCCATTGTGACCACACTCTTAAAAATAAATGTGTCAAAAAGGGTTCTTTGCAGAGACGCCATAAAAGAACCACTTTTGTAAACAAGATATAAGTGTGAAGAACCTTCTGAAAGGTTAAAGAAACTCTACATAATGTAAAGTTTCTTTACCAACTAATGGTTTTCTTAGAAATATACATCCAAGCCAAGAACCATTTATTTTTAAGTGTACTCTTTCTGGCATTTCCTCATTTTTTTGCTATGTCATCATCCTTTTGTCATTTGGACTTGGGACTACAGTAACCTGGGGGTTTATGCACACTCACAGGCCATGACACATCTACTCTGTAAAAATTACAAGTTGAATCTAAATAAAAGCAAATGAATTTGGCTTTATTGTTCTCATCTGATAACTTTAAACACAGCACAGTGTGGACACAGTTTAAAAGGATAGTTCAACCAAAGAAAATGGAGTTAACAGCATGGAAAACTAGTATAATGGCCAGCTGCCATAGTACTATCTGACAACTAGGCCTGTATTAAATTACCACAACACTGCAATAATAGCATGTTGTACAAGTCACCAACATAACTGAGCATTTGCTTTAAATTTTTGCATGAGAGCACAGCTGCATAAAGTGAAGGTTGTTTTAGATCGAGAGTGGTAACTACGCCACTTACGACCGCAATTTCAATACGCTTCTACGTCAATCAGTGTAACCTTTTTAAATCTGCCACTTGCAGCAAGCACTGCAAGTGCAATCACTCTTTTAGGCACTCCCAAAATGTTTTTCGCTTGCAACTGGTGTGAAAACAAAAGCATTGTAGAAATGTTCCTTTGTCGCTGTTGCTTGTGGTATAAAACAAGGTTTTGTCAGCCTAATTTGCACTGTTGATATTTTATGTTCAGTTTTATGTTCAGTGGTATGTGTTAAGCTAAGTTAGCCTAATGTTACTAATAATACTTATGTATTACTTATGCTGTCTTTGGGTGCTCAGTCAAAGGTTGGACATACCAAATATGACATCATATGACTTATTCCACTTAGATGAGTGCAGAAAGACACACCCACAACACAGAAAAAGAAAGCATGGAGGTCTGGAGAATACTTAAACTGGAATCAAGCATTGTAAATATGACAAACAGCAATTTACAGGTCAGAAAATAGTTTTTTCCCAGTTTCCAACCCCATTTAAAAACAGCATTAAACAAGTACTGAAGTGCACGTATTGTAGTTTAACCCCACCCCTCCTTCTGGCAATGGTATTGCATATCACAGAAGCAGGGCACCCAAACACCCCAAGTCCTACCCCTGGGCTGGGAATCATTTAAGATGCTTTGATACTGATACTTTTCGATACTTTTAAATTACAAATCAAACATGGGTGTGGCTTAAACCAGAAGTGATTGTGAGGTATATTTATGAACCACAACAGCGTGCAAAAATAATCAGAGTTTACATCAGTAACATGCTTACAGAATGTAATTTAGGCACCAGTTTAGATTTTAGACCAACCATGGTTTTCAGCTCTGATGTTTTCAGTCTGCTGATGCAGATTGACTACTGTAATTATAGTAGTCAATGTAGAGATTAACTACTGATTACTTGTATGCTGAATTTTGATATGGACAGAATTTTTCGACACTCTAGTACTGAAGCAATTTGGTCAGTACCAAAAACATATTTAATTTTGATACCCAGCCCTAACTATCTGATTTAGACATCCCTTTTGGAAATATCTTTTTGGTAGAACTATCTCTGTTTTGCATGGACTCACAGCTTTTGTCTGTCCAGACATGCAGCTCCTGGGCCAGCTCAGGAATCACTAGGAAGGTCCTCCAGCCTTGGCGTTTTTTGGACTTCAAAATGTCTCCGAAAATATGGTCCCCGATGTAGATGATATCCTTCCCTTTAGCACCCAGCAGATCACACACAATGTCTGAGGATCCTGAGCAATGAGGACATAAAGAGGTTTTCAGCAGCAATAACAACAACAACGTGACAACAAAAACTGAAAAGAACACAATGAGATGTAAACAAGTGGAAAATAAAACTGGTGTCATCTTTAGCATATCATTTACAAGGATTCTGGTGTATTTGTGATGTATGAGGGGGGTCTGTGAAGTGTGTCGAAGGAATGTGCAGAGTGTGGATGGAGTGTATTTATTGGGTGTGAGGCATATGTGCACATAAGCTATGTATGGCATGTGTGGGTCACCTCCAGAGTAGACTATGCCGTGTTGCAGAGGTCCAGTGTATGTTCCAATCTTCAGCCGCCCGGTAGTCTACAACAGAGAATACAGCGTTCACTATTCAGGCAGAAATATATCAATGCAAAAAACACAAATGTTCCAACGCTTTGCAAAAGCACAGTCCTGGTTTACAAAACGGATAATCCAAAATCTAAAATCTGACTGGCTAGGCCACATTTGAAGTCATTGTGCGATATTCAACATATACAACACAGACATGTGCTGAATACTGTATTAATATGCAAAGTTATCGAAAACCATTGTGCCATTACTTAATATAAAATAATCTTTGACTGTAATGTTGCTTAGCAACCATATCCTACATTGAACTACATTAAACTACATTACACTGCAGAAGAATTGTTTATTGCGATGACTATCAATGAATTTTATTGTTTACTGAATATTAGTGTTCTCATATTCTACTTCGTACCCAACAACACCTCTTAACTGTGGTCAATAACTGTAAAATCACTGTAATGCATGGCATCTAGTGGCCTGCTGGATCTACTATTATTCCAACAGCTATTAAAATAAATAATTGACAATTCGAGTGTGTTCTGCTTTATTTGTTCATCCAAAATTAGTTCAATCAAACCTTGTTATTGAGGCTGTCTCAAATAATTTGAATAATTGAGTATTAATTCATAATTTTGGTATTGCATTTAGTATTCAGACTCATCACTTTTTTAAGCCCAAAATTTGAAGCCCAGACTACAACACACTTCATCAGCAAAGGCCTTTAGATAGAATGTTTACTGTTAATATCTGGAAAATGTTAAAAATAAACAAGCTATAGCTGATTTAGCTATGCATTGTGAATTCATGCCAAACACCACATCACGTAGCCTTAGAGTCCAACAAACTGCACAGCTTTCCATGTGGCCACCAAAGCTAAAAGCGCAGAAATGCTGAGGAAATCACATGTGGGAGCACTTTAAATTATTAGGGCATTATAACAGGGAGGTATGACAAGTGTGATGAATCCTCTCAAATATGTAAGTATAGTGAGTCTTATCAGAGTACTCCTCAGTAGGCAAGGCTACGTGCCCTCCACCTCGGCCGATTTCAGCTTATTTGTACATAATTAATATATCACAATATAACAAACGTACTTAAAATAATGTTGACTGTGAACATAAATATTGTTTTTTGGGCATAAATTTGGACATACCAACGAGTATTTGAAGTCTGGACCAGCCCTACTAATTACATTAACTTACATTTAAGTTTAGGAAGTTTTTATCCTTCTCTTATGTTTCACAAGGTGTTGTTAAGCAGCAATTTACTAAATACATTATATGCCCACCAACATAATACACGTCAGTAAGATTTACTAAAATAACGGCCATACACTGTTCAGTTCAAGCATTGCTCTCAGACTTGCATACTGATCTGAGCTAGCAGGAGGAGAACTCTCTGCGAGTTCTGTACTCGGACTGCAGGCTTATTCTATGAACTCTGCACTTTATGTCCTCAGCAACACTCAATATTCTGTGCTGACAAGCCAATAGGTAGTCACTGAGGAGGCATCCTGTGCAGCAGACTAGAATGTTACAGATGGTGGAGTAGCGCAGCTGCTGACCGTGTGAGAATGCGCAGAACTCACCGTATCGACCTGCCTCAGCACAGTTCCCTCTCCAAAGAACAGTGGTTTTCGTGCATCCACCAAGATCAGGTCGAAGTAAGACTGCCACGGGCGATGAGGAGAGCCATGCTACAGAACATACACAGTGAATTTTCTAGAGTGAAACCACAGTACTGCAGAAAGAGATGGCACCACACCACTTTGTCCTTTTTGATACAATGCACATACAGAAACTTTTGCAGGTTTCCCACTATGGGTGTTACGATAGCGCATGGTAATAACAGACAAAAACATCAAAAACATATTATATCTTGTATTTGCGTATCATTACACCCCTAGTGTCCACCCTTTTTAGGAAATCATTTTCCATGACTTTTCAAGGACAAATTCCTATGACTTCTATACACTACTGCTCACAAAAGGTCATCTTACAATAACGCAAAATTGTAGATATCTTTAAAATTAAGTTAACAATTAATCCCCAATGACCCCAACTAACTGAGTGCTATACTAAAATATACTCAAACAAACCATTCACCCAACCAATCACTTGATTGAAGGTTCTACTAAAATATCAGATGTGAATTGCAATAAGCTAGTGTGTGTTATTGTAACCTCACATTACCAGATGTAAGACTGTACCATTCCAAACTACAATGAATGGACACTCAAACTAGGGATCAGCAGCTAAAAATATGCAATAATATCGGTGGCTTAATGGATCAACTTTACACTTTCCCAGGAATTCACTAGTTCTTCCAGGACAATTTATCAATTTTCTAATTGTGCAAGTGTTTCTACAACTGGAAAACTAGATTAAAAATTGCAAGATTTCAAGGTTTTCCATGACATCTGGGAATCCAGCTTTAGTGTCAGCTGATACAGCAATCCAGTGTTTTTAAAATGAATCACTTTACGTAGTGAAGCTGGCCATGTAAAAATGGCATGGCAAAACTGCTCAAACACTCTACCACTTTACATGGACATACATAGCCAACAATCTAATACAAAACCATAGCATTATTGTGCGGTTAACTCTTTCACACACAAGAAATGTAACTCACGGTGCAAATAAACTTTGCTGCATTTGTAACTCACTTTAAATAACTAGTCAAATCAAAGACTTACCTTTGGCCCATAAGGGAAATCGAACAAGTAGGTCATGATTTTCTGCAATTAAACACAAAGGAGAAGAGAGTGACGTTCATTATTCTGGGAAAATTATATAAAACTTTATGTATGCATTTAGATTTTTATGTAATCAAATGTGTGTTGAAACAGCTGCGTGATATTTGTAAACTCACGTCTGTATATTTGTAGTCGCTGTTGGTGGCCAGAAACACTTTGGCAACTTCATTCATGCGGCTCAGCAGCAGCGGCAGCTTAGGCTTTGGAAAAGAAAATGCACAACTCATTCAGCTCCGCTGCTTTCTTTGTATTAATATAAAAGAAAAATTTTAAAAGATCAAGCAAACTTACATCTTTCACCACGTACTTCTCTAGGTTTTCTACTGTTTTTTCTTTCAGAGTTCCCTGTGGACAAAAGTTCAAGATTACATTACGCAGTAGGGCTCGACTGATATGAAAATGTGACGAACATCGATAACGATTTCAATGTGTAATGTAAAAATTCAGATGATAACTGATGATATTTGCAGATATAATTCTATATGGTCAAAAAGTAAACAGAGTCTAACAGGTTTAGATAATATGCGTCTGTAAAGGGTCTCTTCTTTACAAAAAATATTGATGATTGATCAGTACGAGTTTTGCCAACACCAATAAAATTGTAGCATCTTAATATCAGTCAGTAATAGCAAACAATTAATATATCAGTCAGGCTCTAGCTAACACAGCTTCATGTGTCCCATAATTATTGCTGGAACCCAATAATATTACTGAGAGCTTGTTCACACGTGTCTGGATATTTATGAAAGCACATTTTTTCTCTTTACATTAAAAAAAAATAACCTTCTCCAAACCAACAGCATTTAAAAAATTTCACCATCCACACAAGAATGCAAAAAGAATTTAAAAAACCCTCACAAGCGTTACAACCCAGGAGGCAATAACATGCCATAAAGCAGGTCGACAAACAGCATGAGAAGAATGAAGAAGCATGTTTACTGCACAAAATACCAAGAACAAACTTGTGGACAGGGTGTGACGGCATGTTGCTTAAGCAACAACACAGAGGCTATGGCCACAAATATTTAAAACAAAAACAAACAATGACACAATAAGAGGAATTCAAATGCATGGACTGACACTGTATTGATAAACTAAAGCAAATGTGTATTATTGATCACATAGAAACAATCTGGTCCTCAGCTATGGCAGACAGTCTTGAAGCACGCTGAATAGAGTAAAACAGCATTGAGTAGACTCATGTTGATGCTGGGCAAGCACAGTACACTAAACTAATAAGAGTCATCGGGCAACACTCCTAAGACTACATTCACCTACTTCTGTAACATGGTGCAAAAGTTATGGCACATAACAATTTTTTGCCAATATGTTAAACTCAGTAAATAAATGGAAACTGTGCACTAAAATTTTAAGAAAAATTACATTGTTTTGAGAGGTTATTCTGTATTAATGATTGTTATTTTCTCTATATCAAGCAATAAAATAAAAGGAACTGTTCACAGAAAAAGTCTGTTCCCTGTAGAGGATGTGTTAACTTATTTTCACTTAAAAAAAAATTTTAGCAGGGGGTATTCAAATGTTTGCATACAACTGTTTATTTTATTCAGTCACATGAAAACACAGAAAACACAAAGAATAAAAAAAATCTCCACCAAAGAAAAAAGGTTTTCCAGCTGTTTCCAAATATTCTAAAATGCTTTCTTCGTGTGGATGGGAGACCAAAATACAGGGCAAAAGAAAAAAAAGTTTTCAAAAATATCCATATGTGTGGATGGGGTTCAAATGCAGTAACAGCTCTGAGGCAGGTCTTGGCTTTAACATGTATCATACATTACCATTTTGTCATTCTGTACCAGCTCTTGTACATGATCACTTTAACATTCCGTTCCTCTACCTTAAAGTGGACCCAGTCGACGGCGTCTCGTACGTCCTGGAACATGCTCTTGAAGGACATGAAGAGGTCTCCGTTTTTGAAGCCTGTCTCACAGCTAAAGGGTTGGAAAAAGGGAGACAAGGCTAAGATTCTGAGCCCGGGCCAGTTAACACACACTATCGACAGTCAGACATGGTTTAAATGGGACAGTCTTCCCTTGTTTGAGGTTGTTCCGAGCCAAACAGGAAAGCCCTCTCCCCCTAAAAGGACCAACAATCATTTCAGAGGACATGCATCCAGACCAGAACAAATCACACACTCAATTAAGTCTGTATAGGCTTGAATGCATTTAAATTATGAGTGTTATTAATTACCCACTACATTTGTGTGCTTAAATTATTGTTAAGTCAGATGTTATACAATTAGTTATTATTATTGATTGCGTTTCAGTTTTTTTTTGTTATGTCATGCCTGTGCACAGTTCAGTGGACTACAACTGCACTATTGTAATAGACTCCTTTTTAAAACATGCTGTAAAAAGATTTTGCCACACTGTGATTTGCTTATCAGCGAGTGACAGACTTGCCTGATAGACAAACCACTGATAAGCCTCTCCCAGCATGTGTGGGCGAGAGAGGGAGATATGGAGTTTGAATCATCTGCATGTGGATGCAGTGTCCAAGGTAACCGTGTTTCAAAGTCACTAGCATTGAAATTCTCACCTTGCATATCGGTCACAGTTTGAGAAGAAGTCAACCAGGCAGGCATAGAGGTAGGTTTCTATTTGGAGGAGAGAGAGACAGAGTACAACGGATTGTAAATTCATTATTACCTTCTTGTTTACAACTGTTTGACTTGGCAAACCTTTTTATTGGTTATATACTGTACAATTAAAATGAATGACTTCAAGCTCAAAAAGTACTATGAACTCAAAAGGTCAAAATGAAAATGAAACCGTGGCCAGATCACCCAGGACTGACCTCGCAATCTCCGCGATAGAAAACGTGAAACATAACGAAAGCCAATAGGAAGTTGCTTTCGTTTCTATGCTAAGGCTGTTTTCACACATAGTTCAACTGCTGAAGACTGGTCAGAAATTTGGCTGGGATACAAGCACACATAGAAAAAAAAATATATATATTTTTAACTTTCACTAGCCTATCACTGCAGAAAATTCAGATCTATCCCCTGCATATATTAATAACCTACACTTATTATCCTACTTTTACTTTGTATTGAAATAGAGATGCTTAAAATACATGAATCTCAACCAAAAACAATAACAAAAAACCCTTCTTGATCTTTGCATCTTTATGGTTGAATGGTTGATCAATTTGAATTTAACCAATAAGGTGGCTGAATTTATTTCAAAAGTACATGCCAAAAAAGCACTGCCACTGCCATTATGAGCGACAGTTCCTGCTGCAGGAACGATATGAGCATCTATCAAGAATCAAATGTTCAAACAGACAGATTATGCAGACAGTACAGAGCTGGCAAGTTACTAAAAGAAGAGAAAAGTGTGCTTTGATGTTGAATACTGACATTTGGTATGGACTATTATAAAAAAAAAAAGTGTTCCCACCAGCACTGAACCAGACTTTCAACACCCGCAGTTTTTGGAGGACCATGGTTCAGCTGTTTCGGACTGGCCTGAGTGTTTCATTTCAAAATGGACCAAAATAGAAAACGTTTGATAAATCCACACAAAACAATGTAGGGCTTTGCCATGAGAATTTCAACTCATTCGCTTATTTGTCCACAACGGGACCACAGTTTGGCGAAATGCACATTTCTCTTGACCTCTTAAAACTCAGAACATACAGTTTTTATGCAAAAAGCTTAAAGATGATATATGGCAGTGATTAATTGTCCACCTGGAAGATTGAAGAGAGTGTTGAGGATGTAGAAGCGTTCGGTGTCATCACGCTGGATGAACTTGTTGGGGTAGAGTTCTCGGATGTCAGGCCTGGCACAGAGCAGAGGCATGCATGAGCAATTTAAACAAATATAGCTCATCTACGCAGAAAAATGTACTACAGCAAATATGTTACAGTGGTTTCTAAAATATGGATTTGATGGTGGCGAAGCGATTGTCCATAACAATTACAGTAACTTGGCGTAAACAAACCAGTGTCACCAATTTCAGAGACTATGAATGATGTGAACAATTCTAGCTTTTCTACAAGTTCCGTCACACTTGTGTAATTCAGTAGAAAGGATGTCTTCTTACCCACGGAGGAAGTTAAAGCCATGTACACAGACCAGGATGTTACCATAGGCGTCCACCTTCAGAAGGTTACCGTACATGGTGTCAAATACCAGACCTCTGGAGCAGAGGGGAGGACACAATGTTTTCAGTTTTCAAGCTTATTAGAGAAATCACTAATTTCACAAAACTTGATCTGTGACTATCAAAAGGGAAGCTTTGAAGTTTTTAGCCCAGCTAAAATGTAGTCTGATAACATCAGAGCAGCTTACCTAGTTGGGAAGGAGGGGTCATAGACAAAGCCAAGCAGTTCCTGGGGGTAGCCAATTGAGACCAGTCTCTCAACAGTCAGGTCAAAACCCAAGGATTCATATTCTGGAGATTTGTAGACTAAAACAAAACACAATCCATGTTTAACTGCACATTATCAGACATGTGACTTTGTATATGATTGATCAACTAAGCTAAAGCTTTCCTTAAATCATAAGGTCTTTTTTATATGTGTTTTATCCAATATAAAAAACATTATAAGTCTATATACTAAGTCAATATATGCTAACTCAGTACATGACAACAAACAAGTAACAATAAACTGGATCTACTAAGTCAAGGTTCACTGTTTAAAAAAGCTTTGTCATGTTATTCTGACTGAACCTAACTTTGATACTGTCTGCAAATATTCCACAATGCTAAAAACAAACAATATCTAGTAAGAAAGAGTAAAGGCTCAGAGAGTAATGCCTTTTAAAAGGAACAGCTCAAGCAAAAAATAGGAACTGACGAAAGTTAACTCATATCATAGTTTATGATACAAAACCACTAAGGCCTATTTGTAATTACATTAGCCCCCAGTGCACAGCAGTAACTGTTTTAGCCTATAGAGCTCTAAGTCACAGGTAAGTTAAACCACATGTGTAATTACTGCCACAGATTCCAGTTATAGCTGCGTAGACATTATATATAGGTAAGATGGTTTCCACATTGTTGCATTCTAAAAACAGAGGTTAAATGACATCACCCAGTCTGTCACAACTGTAAACACTCTCAGTGCCAAGTCTGTTCCTGAGAAACACTCTATTTGGTACTCTATTCTCAAAACACAGGCTTCGCTACCAGAAATAAACACATGGCTCAAAGAACAGCCGTAGGAGTATTATTTTAGGTGACAGAACCTAGGATGTCCCACATTGTGATGTCTTTCCACAGGGTAGGGCAAAGCTAACCAAACTATTCAAAACACATTCACACTGGCTTAACAGGCTCCCTGAATGTTCTGTGATCTAATCTGGAGCGAAACCGGATACACTGACCCTTTCACATTTAAACCCAATTAAAGCTTCAGACCCATGTGAAGGGAGAGCCTGGTAACATTTCGAAGACAAAAGACTCAGCTGAGAACTCTAAGCCCCCGGTTTGTCGTTCGATGCTGGTACCCAAATGCAACTGGGATAAAAATAAGGACATCAACAAAACAATAATAGCTTTGGCAAAGCATGGAAAGACACTCAATCCAGCTCCTGTCGCATGCTGGGAAGGCAAGAGGAATGTGTTTGCTCTGGTTGTTGATGCTGCCTTAGGTCGTGGGAGTGCAGGAGAGAAAGGGAGATCTCCTGAGACGAAGAGATGCAACTCGGAGTGCCTCAGGGAATAGCACTAGGGCCTCTAGAGCTCCTCAGTGTAAGACATGTGGCTGAGCCATGCATATTTATAAAATTCAATTTGTTAAAGTCAAGGTTCTGTTTGTCTATGACAGTTTTGTGTGCCTCAGTAAGAGATGGGTTTAGTCTTTGTTAATGCGGTACTGATTTGACATCAGAAGGACGAAGGGTTCAAAATAGGTAGATCACTTTCTTTCCATTTATCTTTCTTTCATCATAACCAGTTTTAGGGCCAGTGACACAACTCTTTATCGAGCAAACATATGACCCTCTATGTGCATGAGCACAGAGCAAGAAAGCATAAAACATACAACCAGGGCCCAAATTCCTCATTTACGGCCCTCTGTTTCTACAGACGTGTGTGTGTTGTGTGTGTGTGTGTGTTTGTTTTTGTACAGTTTTGGGACAAAATATCCTTAATTTCTCTTTTTTTATTAAAAGGACAATAGTTTCTCTTTGGTTACTGAGGTTAAAGATATTTCAGAGTACATACAGTACTGTGCAAAATCAACAATTGATCAAATTAATATATGGGATATACACACGACCTACATATATATAGGACATACCTATGACCCTACAACCTGATATTGCAGAAAAACAAGGCTGTGTATGCGATGAGGACAGGAGGAGGTCCTCCTGCAGTGCTGCAACTAGCACAGCACAGGCAGCTTGCCAGTGAAATCCTACAGAGTCTTTGCTTCAGGCCAGATTCTTCTGTCCAAATAGCAGCCCCACATACCCCTCCCCTTTCCCTCCCTCTGTCTCTATGTATCTCCTCTTAAGCTCTGCACTGCTACAAAGAAACCTATTTTGAGCCTCTTTTCCTTTCAGTCACTTCTCATATCAGCACCCTTTTGGCAGCCCATAGTTGGTCAAGCTGACCTTGCACTATGCTACAGCACATTATAGCTACGCAGCCTGTAAATGTTTTGAGAAAACATGTTTGTAAAAGCAGCAGTTCATATTTATAAATATACCTGAGAGCTATTCAAAATGGAAAAAATACTTAAAAAACAGGCCTAACGACATTCAAGATGTTGCAAAATGCCACTTATTCTATACTCTATTTGCTGACTCACGTCGGCACAAACCCATAATGAATAGAAGCTTAGAAGCTTAGATGACTTCCCTGACTGTAGCCGAAAATGTCTACCACTGTGTAAATAGTATTTGTGTACAAGGCTATCAAAATAACACAAAAAGGCAACATAAATCAATCAGAATAAAACAATGCCTACTAAAAACACAGTACGGATTAAACAACACAGATGTTGCCCAAGGATACTGATTAGTCTTTGTGTGTGTAAAACAAGTTGCAGTCACAAAACATAACATTATATTATATTTATTATATTTATACTTATTTTAACTTTTTGAATCTTTGTTTTTTTATTTTTTTATTTAATAAAATTTTGTGATACTTGAAACTTTATTGTATATATAGTTACAAAAACTCAATAAAAAGCTAGATATACACTCTTCTGAATGTGCATCATTATCATTTCAATCATCAAGCTTGATGAATGTGAACTGAAGAATAATCAATCATCAATTATCCATTATCATACCTAAGATGCACAGATGTACTTATAGGTACTGAGGATTAACATCACTGCATTATGGGATTATTTCGTCATATTGGCAGGGTCATTTATTTATTTATATTCTACAAATACTCACACACACTGCAAGATATTAAAGACGTTACAGTTTTACTGTGTTTTTCTGACTTGTCCTGCTTAAAAGTGACACAAATGAAAAGGGAGTTTATCTCAACCAACTCCAGAGGGATGCCAAACAATGATATAATAATAAATTAGCCTTACTCACAGCATGGATCCATACACACTCACTGAGATTACTGACATTTCACTTAGCAACCAGCATGTTCAACTAGTGTTTTTTCACTCAGCCTCTGGCACATTTAACAGGGCAGAATGTATGCAATATTTTAATCAAACGTTGTATTTGGGATATTTTACTCGGGCAAATTCTGCTTTTTTTCAGCATATTTTACTGAGATACTGGCATATTCCACTGTAGGTAGCCTTTTAGCCTTTTAACACTTGACTTAGCTAGTTAGCCAACTAATGACACTATTACTGAACAGTAGTATATTAAACACCACAAAAAAAAACACATTAGATCATACATGTTGTAAGTTCACACTAAATGGCTAACGGCATGACTAATGTTACTAGTCAAGTCTATCTAACTTATTTCACCTTGTGCCTTTTAGCTGGAGAACAGGAAGTTTGTAAAGAATGTGTTATCTGATACCAAATAAATCCACTAAATGATGTTGAAAGCTTTATTCCATTAAATCTACACAACTAAGAGTATAAAATTATCTTGAGCCTGATGTTTATCAGCACTCTTATCATGATGCTTACTACGTGCTGTTTAACTAGAGTTGCATCCGAATAGTTGAATGAACCTTTTCCTCTTGATCTTTGATCTGGTGGTCATGCAGAACCCCATCCTAGTCACCTCTGCAAACATATTTAGTGGGTCTATGGGCTACAGATCAGCCAAAATCATCGAAAGCAGAAAGACAAGTTAGCGTCATTCAACTTTTTAAAAGCAGCCTAGACCAACTAAGCCTGCCACAACGGCGGATTAGACAATGTATAATGGCATCACATTCCATGGAAATGAAAGCATGGCATGGTTTGAAATGAAATCAAAGTTCAAAAAATATTTCTTTAACATATCAGAGAATAAAAGTTATTAAAGGTCAAAGAATCTCTCCTGATAGTTCAGGTGTTCTTAGTATTATGTTGTGTTTTTGGGAAACGGGGCCCTAATAATATTTTAATTAGGCCTTTAGGCTTTTATTGGCTGGTTCGAGGACAGAGCTTAAATTTACTATGAGCGCAGTTGCTGAAATACTTCTGTACAAATAGCCAGCATGTCAAGTAATGGAAAAATGTGCTATAGGCTTATCAGCAACACAGGCAAGGTAAAAGGGCAAAGGCCATGCTTACTTTTGCATAGCACACTGTTGTCACAGCAAGCAGTCATGGACAACCACTTTCCAAAAACGCTTTCCAATATTAACCTGCAGGCATTGGATAAATGTAAGATACAGGTCTTAAATGCCTTCAAATATATCTAATAGATCAGTCCAATCTACCAATATTTATTTTTTAATGATTTAGGACTTCACAGTTTATACAGTAAGGTAGAGACATACCAATCTTATCTGGAATCAGAGCTGATTCTGGTATATTTTAAAAGATTGGGTATTGGCTATATTAAGCTTGATCCACTTCTTTTTTTGCACTCTATTTATGACACTGTTGTAGAGGTTCCATAAACAAACTATGACAAGCATGCACGCCTGCATATCAAAAGGGAAATCATTTTACAACTGCATTTTAAACTAACTGGCAACCAGATCATTAATCATCAACTGGTAGCTGTGCAGTCAAATTGGATCACAAGTCAAAAATGTTACTTGGAAGTAGTAAAAATAGTAAATGGTAATCAAATGAGAATTAAAAAAAAAATTAAAAATACAAAATGTCCAGAATGTCAGATTTTGCACATCTTAACAAAACGAAGGGATATTTCTTATTGTTCTTATTCTTATATATTGTTGTGTTAACTGGTAGCCTATCATAAAGTATCTTATCTGAACTGCGTGGCTATACTATAAAAATTAAAATATCGGATAGGATTCAATATTTGATTCTTAACATTAAAGTACTCGAATTTGGGGACCAA